TGGAGCCCTTAGGACCCAAAAATGGCGGACGCCATAAAGTTAATGTAATGCAAAATGATTCAAAATGTAGTTGTCTTTGCTTATCGTAACGAGAACTTTACCCAAATGCACTATTGCGACATCTTTACATATTTTTAAGGCTAATCGTGTGCAATTTTTGAGAAAAATTATCGTAGATGTAGTAAGGTTGGCAGCAAGTGCGGTTGGTGATAACCGTCAAAAGTTGGCAATGACCCCCCTCCCATCCACAAAAACCAAAACAAAGCACCGCCATTTTTGGGTCCTAAGCCTCTCCATGGGGCCCAGTGGCCAATTGGCCATACTCTCTTAATATAGGTACTCTAGTGGAAGGTCTCTTGTCTCTGCGAAAAACCCAAAGGTGAAAAACTGCGAACCTTGATCGAGCTCGTTGCGAAGGTAGGTGGCCTGCTGTCGGATATCGATGAAGAGCCACATGATGGCGGTGGTGGCGGCGACGCAGGCCAGGACCAACATGAGGGTGCAGGCCCGGAGGAAAGAGGAACAGGCCCGCTTCCTGATGAGGATCCGCGTCCGGCAGGGGTTCCTCACCTCCTTCCCGGACCAGTTCCCGTAGTCCTCGTCCGAGCTCACCGACAGCAGCTGATCCTGCGAGCTGATCCCGCTCGAGTTCTGTCGGCACCGGAACCCGTGCTTGCAGCTTTTCCCGCCGGACCCCCTACCGCCACCTCCGACGCCACCTCCGCCGTTCATGTGGTGCGAAGACACGAGTGCGTCCAGCTCCTTTCGTTTCCGCATCTTCTTCCCTCCGGACCTGAGGGGCACGTTCACGCGGCTGATCTCCATCCCGTCACAACTCGACCTCCGTCCCTCTCATAAGTCCCTCGCTTCCACCGGTCTTCCCAGCACTACCGGACCACAATCCTCGTTTTCGCACTTCATTGAGGTAGCATTCAAGTTCAGGGTGTCTACTAAAATAGGCTGGCCAAAAATCAGCGCTTTCACAGTGTTTTTTTTTCAGTGCATTCCCGAGAAATTCAGTGCCTCCTCGACAGAAAAATTCAGTACTTTTTCAGTACTTCTGTTTGATGGAATTCGAAAAATTTCATAAATTTGAATTTCTCGCTCAAATTGCGACAAAAATGGCGACGATTCCGTACCACTTTTTCAGTACTTCCGGACCGCCCTTAAAAAATCAGTACCATTTCCAGACTTGACAGAAATTCCGGACTTGTAAACACCCTGTAAAAGCTATCTCCAGTTCGATATTTTCCCGCCGATCACAATTTTTAAACTACTCGTCTAGCTGGTTTGTTGAGCGCACGAAACAATGAATCATTGCCCTCCAATTAAATTATTTAACACTGTCCTCACAAAATCTCTCGACCCCCGATGAAAGTACGAGCCACAGCCGAAATTTCGAATTTTAAGCAACTGAGGCACGGAAAAAGCGACTCGACGGAAAACTGAAGAGGCAGCTCTTGTAGCCTCGACCTGGCCGGTTTCGCTGTCAAAGGCTTCAAGGTCAGTCAATGGGGTAGGACTGATTGTTAGGTATCACATCTAACTATCACGCTTAACGCGACACGAACTATTACCCGCGTCGACGATGATATAAATAAATAACAAGACAACACACTCGATAATACTGGGGAGAAATCAGTGATAGAAACGGGGACAAAAAACAATTCACAACTGTAGAGCTGGATGAGAGACGATGGTTGGTCCTGGATACATGACGAACTTCTCGCGATTTGTGGTTAGGTCGATGAAGGATGAAATAAACTTGGGGGTTGAAAGTTATGGAACAAGAGAGCGACGGGATGAATACATTCGCGGATAGGAGACGGGGTAGTTATTGTGAGAGAGGGTTTCTTGGCGACGCGACGGCCGCGACGGGTCATAGGCGCAGGACCCGATACAAGAATGACACGATATTGATTTTCCGGAGCAGTGCAAGGGGCGACAGCTCCGCGCAACTCCAGAACCCCGGCTGAGGTGCGCCCGATGAGTTGCCGCCAATTTCGAATCTAGGGGTAGCTTCATGCGCCTACTATCACGTAACCTGTTACTTACAGCCTCCATCTACGATAAAACATGAATTGGACGTACACTGGAAAATAAAACACATTGGATCTAGAGTCCAGACTCTTGAAAACATTGACAAGAAAAAATTCTCTTGATTCCATCGGATTTTCGCTTGAATCAAAACGAAATCCGCTTAAATTAAGAGGCGTGGTTCTTCATATAAGCTAGATTCTGATTGAATCGAGAGTACTTTTTCCTGTCGATGTTTTTAAGAGTCTCGACTCTAGATCCAATGTGGTTTTTTTCCCCCAGTGTATTTATGCTAAAAGGAACTACGTGCAAGTGGGGTGTGCTCGTGGAAGCTGCATAAGAAAGAATTTAAAAGTGTATAGTTCCTTTCGAGAAAATTGAAAAGCGGGATTTTCAATTAAATCAAAAGCAACTGAGCGCTAACTCGTGAGCCGTGGACATGTGACAAGAGCCTTGTGGACAGGGCTCATGAGTTAAAGACGAGCGAGCACGACAACGGAGACGGCTTCGTTGCCGCTGACGTCACTGGCGCTTACAAATCCCCATTCATTCTTATGGCCCTTAATTAACTAGCACACCCCATCTTTCCACTTGCACATATTTCCAATCACCTAAAATACGTCCAATTGTGAAAGAAAAACTCTTGAAAATGATGCATTGATTTTTTTTAACACTTTTTTACGTAGATTTTATTTTAAAATTTGTTTTGAAGCATCACAATATTTGAGGGAGTTTATCAACACCTCTTTTTACTTATATTTTGTAACTCGTAAATTTTACGAAGAAAAATCCCTAAAAGAATTTCCTTCTTCAAAAATTGTAATACTTTTTTAAGAGTTTTTTAAAAAAAAAAAAAAAAAAAAAAAAAAAAAAANTTTTTTAAAAATAAAATAAATTTAACAGCTGTTACTAGTAGGGATAACTGAGACCATTTCTGGGTTTTCACCATAGATTTTGAATTATTCGGTTAGCTTTCTCATGTTGTGTACATTAGGAAATAAACTTCGGTTCCCGTTGCTGAACTCGCACTAATTTGGCCATTCGCGATGATTTGCACTAAAGCGCATATAGTATAGAAATCAGCGATTCGTTTTTCAGTGCTACCACGATACGTGAAAAAAGTGTCTGAAGGGTTCAAAAACGAACAAAAAACGATTAAAAATTTGGGAACCAAAGATTTATATTATTAGAGGTCCATAATTGGACGTATTTCTGCCAAACGGAACTAAGCGCATTAAGTCATGAGCCCTGAGACCCATTAGAATGTATACACAACAGGGCTCACGTCATAATGCACATAGTTCCGTTAGGTAGAAATACGTCCAATTTGGTATTTTTGCAGCCGATGTGGTTATCAAGCACCGGCGCGGCGCGCAGCGCAACATGAGCATTGCGCGCTTTTGGGTGCGAGCGAGCAAAACTGGGGCGCCCTCAATTTTTTTCACGCAACACGCGCATCCATGGAGCACGAATAGTTGCGTTCAGGCGCTGTGATGAACTGTGCCTCATTTCGCGCGTACATCGTCCGCAAAACTGAGGGAACGTGGAGAACAAGTCGATGGTGAAGGTGATATTATCAGCCGACGTACATCTCGATTTGCGACGTTACGAATCTCCTGTCGCAATTCACTATTCAGAGGAGGCCCAATTATCATTTGTTTCCCTTCGTTTTAAGACGGTATTTTCTAAACATTTTGCGCAAAAAAGTCGAGCAGCAAGCTCATGAAAAAATGAAAGACGAGTGAAAATGAGGGGCTTGGAGGACAAGGCGTGTAAGTGCAGTTCTTGATATTTCAATATATACGCGTTTACAGTTTAGTAATTACAAGGGGCCTTGTGGCGAGAAGAAAGTTCAAACTCACTGTTCGATGCTTAAGTAAAAATTGTACATACATATTTTCGTGGTGAATTTATTTACAGAAAATTGAGACTAGTTTTACTGGAAATCATTAATACTTCGTTTTTTTTAAAAAAAAAAAAAAAAAAAAAAAAAAAAAAAAAA